TATGCATCAGGACTCTATCTGTCTACGTTGTTTGAAGAGTCGTGTAGGTGGAGGATACATGGTATCCATTAACAAGTTCATGCTTACGTTTGGACCTCGAATTCGGGAAGAGCTTCTTAAGCGGGAGATCTTCGAGGATTTCGATATCGTTGTACTCGCATACAGTGGGTATTTATTCAATCTCGTCTCTGGCACTCACGAACCTTCAACTTCAAGCGCTCTATCCGGCGAAATTTCCTACACAGCTCGACGAGCTTTCTCAAGGACTGGCCTATATTCTTTCTTCGGGGATCAAGCAGGAGAATGTCATCCTGATGGGGGACTCCGCGGGCGGAAACCTGATCGTCCAGCTCCTAAGCCATACTCTCCATCCCTTTGAAGGAGTGACACCATCCCCTCTGCAGCGTGTTACAGTACCGTCTTCTCCTGAGGATATACCTATAAAGCAGCTGGGAGGTGTCTACTTGCTTTCGCCTTGGCAGTCGTTAGACACACCCACTCCATCCTATGCGAAGAACAGCGCTTCCGATGTGGTTTCCCCTTCGGCGCTTTTGCGCTGTGGAAAAACGTATTTGGAAGGAGTCCCTGAATCGCACCTACCATGGATCAAAACCGCTTACTGCGCACCAGACTCGAAGGAGCCGTGGTTTACAGGCCTGGATGAATATGTAGGGCGAGTGATGATTACCGCGGGAGGCAAGGAGGTGTTACTGGATGATTCCACTGGACTTTATAGCGCACTAAAAACACTCGCGACATCGAAACTTGATGTTCAGTTGGATGTACAAGAGGACGGGATTCATGGAGACCCCATTTTTGACGCGTCTTTCCCGCAGAAAGCTGGAGGACTTGGCGATGTGACGTTGAATGTTGTGAATTGGATCGGGGAGGGATTCGGAGGTTAGATTATTATCGAGTTTCGTAATGAATATACCCGAAATTTTAGTCTATTTGTTTACCTTGGCTTTGAGAACAGGGCGAAGACTTATCTCGAAAGGTTACCTACGAGGTTAAAGTTTCATCCTGAAAAACGGCTCAGACTAATCCCCCTTCGACACCCGCTTGCTCACTTTCGGACCTCACTTCGAATGCATCTTGCTAGACTGTCTCTAAAATATGTCTTGAAAGCTTGTTGCCTACTCAGTCGCTCAAGATCGTCGATGCGAAGAATGATTTTTTTTTTCACGAAAATCAAGCCAGGCTAGGGGCAGTGCTGGGTGATCGCAGCGGCGTTCTTGGTGGTACTCATCTATTAGGCTATTATAGACCGTGTTATTTAAACCATGCACAGTCAGAGTTGAATTTCAAGTACGACTTCTTACTTCCCTCCAGGACTGGGGCCTGGACAAGCCATTCGTTCTCATTCCTCCTTCGACCAAGATTTCCGAACCATATATTCGTTGAGCGAATATATTCATCTTCGTCTAATTAATGGCATACTGCAAGATGTTCATAATAGGTTGCATCCTAGGTGTATTGTTCGCATCGTCGACCTTGGCTGCGCCACCGTTGGTCAGAAGGACGGGAGCCCATTTGGTTCGAGCGACTTTTTGATGTCATCGTGCCACTGATACCATTCATCCCTAGTTTACACTGGTGAATCAATGTGAGGACAGCATCACTCCAATTTTTGCTGATACACGGTGTGGATACTCTCCCCGTGAGTGTCGACCCTAAAATCTCCCGTTTGAATGTGCAATAGCTGACTACACCGGCTATGGCATACGTAGGGTGCGACGACGCGTCTTCCTTCACTGCTGCCCAACCGGGAAGTATTGCTGTAGGGAAAAGCACAACGGTGACGGTTCCTGCTAGCGTGCGCTTACGATTGTTCCGCCATGCTCGAGCATTAAATACTGATCCAAAATCATGCATAGTGGGTCGGGCGCGTCTTTGCCCAGATTGACAGCTGTGGCGAGAAGGGCGAAGGCTGTACGATGGGCGAATTTAATCTGGGTGAGCCTTCTTGACTAGAGTAAAGGAAAACCACCCGATCCATGTCCAATTCCAGATTCTGGAAATATGTATACTCCTCAAGTACGTTTCTTCCACCCAGACATTCGTTGCAACTGAGTAGTCAAGTATCGTTAGAGTTATGATATCTCCAATATCCAAAGCTACACGCAGGCCATGTCTATTGGGGCCGCGGGATGCGATACTGTCACTTGTAGTAGTGCGGATTGTGGTGTAAGTTGGTCATTGAATTGCTCTTCCCAGTATTAATACGTTTGTCCAGTGCACGAATGCATACCCTGAAGGTGTACGTCTGTAAATGAAATTAATTGAATGATTTGACAGACATGTATATCTGAATAGGACATGACTGGCTGTGGAAATGATTCGCCGGTAAGTATTAGAAGACTTGCGCCCGAATGAACTTCTAACTCCATGATATCAAAGGTCCGGGCTTGTTCAGCAGGTATGTGTTTTGGACAGATGATTGCTGTGAAAGAAGTCAACGAATTTGTTCAGGCAACATTGCATTCACGATTACATTTTGTCCCTAAGATTTTCTTCTGTAGGGTTCATTTTCTGGAAATGAGATAGAATTGGAGTTACTCTTGAGTGACACTGTCAAGTTGAAGGCTGAAACGAGTGGATGGCTCTGCCAAGGGCTCATCTTGATCAGACTGTTCGGGAGTAAATGTTGAGTTTAGTATCTATGGCAGTTAGCCATCGTGGCTATCACCGCTACTTCCATGTTATATCCTATACCCTACGCTCTTGGATCTTCTTTCTGACCTCTCTGTAACTCGATATCGATTCTCGCAATATGGCTACTGTAAACATTAGTGATGTGGATGCAGTTACCGCTGCCTACGATTCTGTTGTAAATTTAGAGACCAACTGGTGCGTTCTGCTCGTCTTCAGTCTCGTTCGTTCACCGGAATAATAGAGGAACTTGGGAAATAGGTTCTTGCTAAGATACGGAGTGGAAAATGTACGTGACAAATTATTTAACCTTAACGGTCCCGTCTCCATGCCAGTGACGCTCCTTGTAGACCGACGACCTCTTCCTCTATGCTTCCGGATCCAAAGGCTTTGCAGAGTTAAAGCAAAGTTTTGAAGACCTTTCCGTCGTCCACATTGCCTTTTATCACGAAGAATCTTCTCAAGTTCCCTCAAAGCCTGGTTTTGCCCTCATAAATTATATACCTACCTCCATTTCCGGAGTACGAAGAGGTAGGTCACTTGTTAGTCTCGAATTCAAAAGTAATTCATTCCAAAATGGTCAGCTCGTGCACTCGTCCAGTCACGGCGCGTTGGAGCTTTATTCCTTAAGGCAAGTCTTATTGTTCATTACGTTTATTCACAACCTTCATTGTTCTCTATTAGACCGAGCACGCTACTTTAACCGTTGACGATCTCTCCAACCTCACTCCATTTGCCATACATCAGGCTGTTCTCAAACCAGAAGCCGTCCACAATATTCGCATCGAACGTTCCGTATCATCTCCCCCACCCATTATCACTAGTTTTGATCCTCCACCTCAACCTCCATCAGAGTCCATGATTATTCCCGTTCGGCGCTCTTTTACGGAGACCTATAATCCAACGGTTACTCCACCTAATTATTCTAATACAACTTCCCCCTCGAAATCCCCCAATCTCTTCTCCAGTCTTTTACGGCGACACCGTGCCAAGACCGATATTCCTTGGGAGAGCGATGGAGATGAACCAGTTCCTCCATCCCCGCCACCGAAGGTCCCCCCAAAGGACAGAAGCCCAGATACTAGTCAACACAATACCCCCAGCCCACGACCGAGAGCAATCACTATACCCGGTCCAGATCGGAGAGAAAGCTTTGCGGATTTTGCGTTCATATCCCATCCCATCCTATCCTCAGACGACGAAGTCCTCGTCGACCATCCCAGTCTTCCAGCTCCAGTTACTCTCAAAAAACCTGAAGGCGCCCTATTCACTATTCCTATCGACCCCAAATGGACGCAGGAAAGTTTTTATATTCCTGACCCTGAAGAACGTGCACGGAGACGGCGGATAGCTCAAGAGCAGCGTGAGCTAGAAGAGCGGCAGGTTCGGCAGGAAGAAGTTGAACGTCAGGAGCGAAGGAAGCGGGAGAAGGAGGAACTAAAGCGACTGGAGGAGGAGGAGGAGGCGTGGCGGAAAGCAGTGCTGGAGCAGGAACTGCGGGAAATTACTGCCCAACGCCGGGAGAAAGAGAGGAGAGAAAAGGAGGAAGACGAGCGAAAGAAGTACGAAATTGAGATGAGAAAAGAAGCTGATCGTAAACGGAGAATGAAGGAGCACGAAAAGCAGGAAAAGTGGCGTCAGCAGCTTGCTCGGGAAGCAGAGGCTGAGAAGAGAAAGGAGGCTGAGACTAGGAAGAGATTAGATGCTGTCAGGAAGATCAGGGTCGGGGAGATGACGAAGGAGGTGCAAAAGGAGGTCAAGTCGACTGGTTCGGCAACAGCGTGGGCCACTGTGCAAACGACCGACAATCTCGTATGGCGAAGACGATACATCAAGCTCATTGGGAGCAAGATCTTTCTGTATCGAAGTCCAAAGGTGCGTCGAACATTTTTTGTTCATCAAGCAAGAAATAATGATCTTGGGTTCTAGGATATGAATCAAATCCTTGATGAGGTCGAACTACGCGGACAGATCGCTGGTCTTAGAGAACCCAGTGAAGGTTTTGAAGAACTCAAAGCTATTTCACACTCTTTTGCGATTGAGTTCAAAGATGGCCGAGAACCGTGGTCTGTGTTCGGCGACACAGAAGAAGAGAAAGTACGTTCTACTCTTCGTTGCCGTTTTCAATCTGATCCCCGACCCTGTGTAGATCAAGATGCTGGGAATACTTCATTATGCAGCTGGCCTGTAGTATCCAACATTGTACCGGCCGGTTTTTGATAGATGTTGAACGATGTACTATAGTCTGTGAACAGCTTCCTATGCTTACGCCCTCTTTATACTTTATGTACTATTGGACAAGCAGCACGGTAAAGAGTCTCAGTATGTACAAAAAGAGATGCAATATTGCTTCCTTAGCTCAGTCGGTAGAGCGCGAGTCTCATAATTCGTAATATGAGGTCTGAGAGTGGACTATAATCTCGAGGTCGCAAGTTCGAGCCTTGCAGGGAGCATAATTGAGATTCAGTCTCAGTAATTTTTGTTTTCCTCCACCCTGATAATAAGATAATTATGAGAAGATAATACCCGATAAACTGGAGTGTTTTCGTAATTGTGAATCCCATCTGCTCTGTGGCTGGAGGGCAGGTGGCATCAATCATATGCCACCCGGTGCTTTTTGTAGGCATGGTGTCGTCTGAGGGGTGTGTGTGAATAATTTAACCAAATTCCTTCCAGAATATAGCAGGTAGCTCTCTAGTGTCCATGTTCACAAGAGCCGCGGTGCGATTGAATATGCCGCTTGAGTTGAAAGGTCCGATGTCTTTGGATTGCAAGGGAACCACTCTATAAACACCATTTTCTTCGAAATGAAAACTAGAACCAGAATGGTGAACCGTAGACATTCAACCGTTCTATTCAGCGTAGCAGAAGTCATGGTCATATTGAATAAAGATACTATATAATTTACTCAAATAGAGATAGAACTTGAGATCGTACATCCTTCGCCGCATCAAATGTTCTGCGATTAAATATCCATATAGCCTTCCTAGGTTCATCGCTTAACCTCCTTTTAGTTTCCAACTCGCGAATCCCATTCAAGACGGTCAACATCCATCCCGGACCATCACCATCTTCAGGGTCCAAGAGCACAATCCCTCTCGTAGGAGGGCATGCTCCTATGGAGCAGTTGTGCTCACGATTCCATCGACACGCGTTGAAGAAAGCGTGTAAAGCATGCAGGCGAATGCCAGACTCGACAATGGCTTTCATCGAAGGGAGCTCGGGATGCTTTTCCTTCAGAGGCGGCACCCAAAACGCAGCGTCCCTGAAAAACGAGTCGACGGGAGGTCGAGCTGGAGTCTCGATAGGTCCAACTGGGATGCTGCTGGTATGATTCTTTCCATTAGAGTTTTCCCCAAGCTTGAGTGGGGAAGTCGGTGGACTTGGATAATGGGCTCGCTTTGCAACTTGTGATCTGATAGGAGATGTCGAGCCTACACCGGGCTGACTGTTCTCGTCTTGTACAGGGCGGGTACCTGAATGTGGGTGATCTAGAAGTGGGGAACGCACAGTATTGGTGGTAACCTGGAGTGGCACCGCTTTTTCCTGTTTATGAAGCTGATGGCCCCTCAAAGGTGATAGCACATGTCGGGTACTCGCCGAAGCGGAGGCAATGGGACTTGAGGGAGGTAAAGACAATTGGGCCGCTGCGTCGAAGTAGAACCCATTAACGCCGTCGCTAGCAGCTTCGGGAACCTTCATTTGTTTCACAAATGGAGGACGAATTTGCTGAACATGACCTGGATTTGAGCTTGGACCGGCGAAGGTTTGGCGTGAGGCAGAGGGAAGCCAGTCAGAAAGACTCTTTGGAAACACATCCTCTTCTGCATTATGGCGTTTCCTCTTCATTTTTTCAGGCGAAGTTACCCTAGCTTCATCTTGATTTGACTTCCGTTTCTTCGGTATGGAAGATTCAACTTGTTTCGAGGACTGCCTTCCTTTTTGTCCATCGTTTCCTTTACGTCGAGCTTGTTTAGGTCTATCCGCTTCAGCGAGTCTTTTTTTCCACATCTCTGTTCGCGCTCGCATATTGCCGGATAGGTTGTGATCAATCTCTTCTACTCGAGAGTCGAACGTAATTTCTACCTGTTTCTGAACAATCTCATTAGCCGAAACGCGACCCATTGCTTCCCGCGCTTGGACGTGAAGTTCCTGCAGGGACAGACAATCTCTCCAACTACGATCATGACGACGAAAGTACTTGGTGATTCGTGGCCAACGGAGTTCATAGTGCTAGCAAAATCATTGAGATAGATCAAAAGAGCACAGGAATATGAACGAACCTCGCTACCCTCAGATACAGTGAATCTGTTGTAAGATCGTCAGTATGATGACGGTAAATCTAAGAAGCGCAGACCTATCGCCGAACAATTCCACTGCGATGGGTTCCCGCAGCATGAATTGGGGTCTAGCAAGTTTGTCGTACATATAGAAGGTGTATTCGAGTTCATCGCAAGGCTAAAAAGAATAGCTTGGTCAGTCTTCACCAAGTGCAGGAACATCGTCCGACAAACCAATGGCTGTTTCTTGTCGCTATCGCACTCGACGGGATCATCAGTCTTAATCAAGAAGTTAAGTGATTCCAGCTCGGCTCTCGATAGCCCATACGCTGCAGTAAAATAGATGTAAAAGTGAGGTTTTAAGGTCGGCTGTGGATACCGGTCATTAGATAGTGATAGGAACAAAATGAGGAAAACCAACGTCATTCATAGTGTCAGACTTATTAGTTTGAGCACCGATGTAGAAGGTCGTCATGGTCGTAAGAGGAACTAAACCAAAGAAATTAGTCTTCGAGATCTAGCGGAGAAATTCACTTTTCACCTCTCAACTCCAATGCACGATCAGAGACATTCGCAGCAGCCAAAAGCACTAGGTCTAGGGTATCTCCCAGACCTTCAATGTAATCCTTCTTGAGTTTCACCCAAGGTTTCCCATACTCGTTGTACTCTGATTCTGCGGCCTTCAGCACTAACCCCTCTTCCCCGAATGCCAGTTTTCGAGCCAGTACTTTTCGCAATGCGCCTCTGGCAGGGTTTCCGTCTTCGTCAAGTTCATCTCCATCATCCTCATCATCTTCATCGTCTTCATCGCTAACATCATGATCATTCGGAGAATGGTTGTGGATGTCGATGAGCCAACGATCAGCTAGTATGGCTTGGCCCGGTTGCGTAATGATGAGCTTCTCGAGGATTTCACGTCGACGGTAGTAAGGCTGCTGGATCAGTGATTCATCTTCGAGGTACATTATGTCGAAAAATATGAGTCCAAGATGCTGGCCTTCTGCGTTAGATTTGAGAGATGACTCTGATTCGTTGTCAGAGTCTCTTATATGGTCACAAAATTAATATCAAGGATATCAGTAGTCAGGGCATTCGACTCACACCAAACATTCGCCATTGATCTTCTTTGACCACCGACCTCTCACACCCACGGCAGTCTCACGAATCAAACGTCGTATGCGCCAAAATTCTGCAAGTAAATAAGGGCGTGAGCGTAAGTTTCCCTCATGCATCACAGAGGCCTACCAAGAATTTGAGTTCCTTCGAACGGCACCATCTCAGCGTCCAAAATGGCGCTTCTTTTGACTCTTGGTTTGACACCCGGCTGTCCATTCAAGCCTAAACAGTCCAAAATTACATCATGTAGTGCCCTGCGGTCATCCGTCGACTCCCTTTTGCTTTTGCTGAAAATAGTAATTTGAGGCTTTTGCCCCTGCCGGACTTGAACGTGAATTTGAGCCCGCTCGCCATCGTATTTAGTCTCGGCCCAGACCTGAGAAGAGTTCGAAAAGAAAGAAAGGGCGTGTTTGCAACTGCGGCCTTTTTGAGATTTGGGGACCTGTCGAAAATGAAGCATAGTGAGGGAAATGGGAAGAGCAAAAAGGCAGGGAAGCTTACTCCAATTTGATATCCAATCTCGGGCCCCACTTCATAACCACTTTCAAAGGCTTTGGCAGCGTCGTCCAAGTCCCATCTCATTCGGTAGGACTTGTTCATTCTGTTCGATAAGTCCCAGGCCCTCATCGCACTTTCTTTAATCAATATCTTGACTGCTTTCGTATTGTAATCCCTCAAGGCTGTCGTAGAGTCAAGCTCGAGCTGTGGATATAGTAAAGGTCGTAGATCTTTCAAGATGATCTGAGTGAGCACAGCGGCTTCCAGGGGTGACATTTTCCGATATAGAGTTCTCAAAATGCTCTTTCTTGTATGCTTTTCTTTAGTAAGATGGCGACTGAGATTTCTCGTTGAAAAGCTAGAGTGGGACCAAGGTGATGTGGACGCCAAGTTGTTCAGCAGTTTGTCTACATCGGATATTCCAAGAATGCCAATATATGTCTCGTTACACTGATATGGTAATAAGTACTCGACAAGCCTCTAGAGTCGATAGTGAAACTTACTGGAGACGTTGCCTCAAGCAAAGCCTGTACTTTCTCCCCCGGAGATACAGGAAGTTTATCCACAGCATCTACTCTATCCTGGCTCATACAGAGGACCTCTGCTACCTCGCCAATTAAGCTCTTATCCCTCAAGCCGAACTTTCGCTTGTGATCGTCTTCAGGGAACAAGAACCGAAAGATGATTGAGGTTGTACCGGCTGGCATCGGTGTTGCCTGGATACGCCGGGAGAAGGTATAAAATACTTCGTACGCAGGAGACCAGGACCATTCTCGATTTATATTCGCTTTGCGTTGTTGATTGCTGCGAGGTTTACTCTTCTTAGCGATGGATTGGACAAGCTGGGCAAATCTAAGAGAGAAAATCAACAAGAGCGAAATTAAGGCTCGTTGTCACGTACTGGAAGAATTTTAAAGGATGTCCAAGGTCGCCATCGGACATTGTGGGTATCGCAGAGTATCGCTCGTGGTGGTGGAGGGTGAGTCACTGAATGACTGCGATTGAGAAATGCCGGTTTAGACGGCAAACTGTGCCATGTTCCTCAAAACCATGACTCTTCACCGCTCATTCTCCACTTCTGCTGCCCTTTCAAATCGTTGTATTGCTTATGTACAGAATGGTGACCCTACTCAAGTTCTCAGATCTGTAACTTTTTCAAGACTTCCTCCGCCGTCACCAAACACTGTCAATCTCAGGTTCCTTTTATCACCTATAAATCCGGCAGACGTGAACACTATAGAGGGTGTATACCCGTCCAAACCGAGTCTTACGTCCAACCTCACTTCCAAGGGATTAGGATCCTCTGAGGAACCAGTCTATGTCGGAGGGAACGAAGGATTAGCGCAGGTAGTTCAGGTCGGAGATGGCGTTGAGAAACTCAAGGAAGGCGATTGGGTAGTCATGGATAAGCCACAGCTAGGAACGTGGTCTACAAGTCGTAACGTGTCTTTCAAGGATGTTATTCGACTTCCTACTTCTGGCTTAACCGAAGCCCATGGCGCGACTATGACCGTATGTTCTTATGCCGTGGGACACCGATATGGGTGCTAGCGTTCCTC